AGGGAGGTGGCCCCAGGATACCAGCCAGGGGGTTCTCTGTTTGGCACCTCCTCCGGCCAAGGAGTAAGGAAAGATGTGTGGGTAAGGAAGGATGGAAAAGTATGAATTATTCAGGGTAGGAGAAAAGCCAGCTCACAGCAACAGAACCATCACAGGAACTAGCACCATGTAAGCAGGCTTGGTGGCGTGCTCAGCTAAGGGTTGGGGTGGGAGTTCTGGGCCAAATGCAGCCAGCGAAATCTCCTCCTGAAAAGTATTTCTGCAAAGTCAAGTTTGTATGGCCCCTGAGTGTACCCCCGAGTCTCAGAGGCTTGGTTTTCAGGGTGGGCAGCTGGGCTGCCTGTGCAGCACCTGGGTTGGGGTTTCCAACAGCAGGGCTCCTACCTTTTCAAATCGGCTTTGCTCAGACCTCCCCCAACCCAGTTCGGGCTGGAGTCCTTCCCTCAACTTGTCATTTATAAAATACAAGTGGAGGAGGGGGCTGGGAGAGCGGAAATTTGTTCATCAGTTTGTCTGTACAAGTCCCAGTTTTCAGATTTCAAGACAGAGTTTCAACAGTTGCCACCTAGCTTTCAACAGAGATGACAAGTATATTCTCTCGCTGGCAATGCCAGGAGCTAGTTTCTTATCTTTTTCTGCAAGCTTTGCTGCAAGTGGAAGAGGGGTTATGAGGACACGAATGTCCTCATCTCCAGCATGGACTTGAATCAGAGTTCAGCACTTCAGTTCCCTGGCTTTGCTTTTGCTAGGGATACCTGCACAGCTTGCGGGTCTGCCTCTGGCCCTGGCAGCTACCTCTGTGGAGTTGTGTGTCAGCACTACCCTGACATGATCCCAAAGATGCAGGTTCATGGATTCCACCAGGAAACTGAAGCAGTATCAGCACAAACATCTCTCCACCATGGCTTTGCTCCAACATGTTGGGTGTCAGGGAGTAGTCCTGCAGGTGGGTGGGTGGTGGTTGTCTTCACCGCATTAAGCCTGCTCCATCCCTTTCAGGGATTTCAGTGGGATTACCTGCCTTAAGAGCCAGGACTCTGCCTAGCAAGAAACCAGGCTGTGGCCCTTTCAGGTTGCCTAGTCACCTACCATGGCTACCTGGGGGCACCGAGACGGCCACCAGGAACCCCCATGGGCCAGCTAAACAGAGCTAGCCAAGCTAAATTAGAGCTAAACTGCATGTTCCCAAGGGCTCAGACTTGAGCTGGCTCCAGAGCTGGCTGCATAAGGAGCCGTGGGTTTGGATAAGCCAGCCATTTAACTGGGGTTTTATTACCAGGCAGGGTAACAAAAGCACTCACAGGTCACTGGGGAACTTTAATCAGCACCGAGGGTCACTGGATAGCAGGCTAGGCAGGAGGAGGGCAGGGCCTAGGGCACACAAATAAATAAATAGATGTATTGAAACCACCTCCGTTCCTCCAAGGGATCTCCTCTCTTCTCCATGCTCTTTACAAGCAGACGTTCAAATGTTCCTAATTTCCCCAACTCCAAGATCTCCAAATTTAGTCGAGAAGTTTATCCACAGGGTTTGGTTGAGGGTTCTTTTTTTTTGTGTTCAAATCCCTCACTGCTGGAGATGAAAGTTCAGTCTGCTGGACTGCTCTTGGGCTGGATATCAGATATCCCTCACCCCAGAGAGAGACAGCGTCCCACCAGCTTCTCTCCCCTGCAGGAAAGAAAAAAAACAACAACCCTCCCATAATCAGAGTCTGGGCAGACAAATTGGCACCACTGTTTTCGTCTTTTCTCCCTCCACCCCCCTTTCTGGAAGAGGACTAACCCTTCGGTGCACAGTCACAACTCGCAAATATTTGTGGGTATTATATTGCAACAGGGAAAAAAATCCAAATGAAGGTAACTGCTAAAAGCTTAGTCCTTCTCCTATGGAAAGTAGCTTTATGCACATCCATAAATCTCCTTTGGAAGTGGCCATTAAAATTGCTTCTTGTTTAATTTATTCTTTTTTAAGGTCGTTTATACTCTTTTTCTCATCTTGCAAACGAATGATGTCATTGGCAGGCCCAGTAATGAACTGAAAAAACAAAATCAACTTTGTCAAAAAGCAAACATTTCAATACCAGTCTGCTAATCCAGCCAAATACTTAAGCATGTGCTTAACAACCAACATGTATTTAAGTGGCTTGCTCCCACAGGGACATCTGTGCACACTCATCTTCATGCACAAATGATGCGCTTGAAGCAAGGAGGGTGTTTAAACTGTTGCAGGATGGGACTCCCTGGGCCTGACTGCTGAACGACTTCTTGCACAGGCAGCACAACATGACAGAGACCCCTCAGCAGCTGCGCATGGGTGCCCTGACCCACTCGCTGACGGTTGCTGGTCCTCTCTCTCCTTCTACAGTCTTGAGACTGATGTCCTCAGGGTTTCCTGCATTGCTGTTTTCTTTCTAACAGTCAAGCCCACCTCTTTTTGCCCACTGTTCAAAGGACAAATCGTTCTCCAGATGCCACAAAGCAAATCCTCTCTAACCTGCATGGCCCTTTGCTTTGTAGATATCCCCTTGACGCACAAAATGCTGTTTAGTTAAAAGCCTCGTTGCACGATACTTGTGTTCTTTGGTTTGGGTGTGTGGATGGGGATTTTAGGTTTGTTTTTATTTTTTTGGAAGCTGTTTTAATGAAGTAGAAGCAAAACCAAATAGCAGGCTGGGCAAGTGGGGAAAAATAAATGCAAAACTTGAAAATGAATAATTGGCGTGGTTTTAATTAGAAGCAGTTAACTGTTTCGGGGTAAAGAGCATGGGCTTGGGTTGACACCGTCTGAACCCTGGAAAGAGCACGTTACGCTGTTCACCATGCTGTGGGTTAAGAAAATGGGAAATAAATACATCCCAGCCTCTTGGAAAACTAAACCATCTTTAGTGCTCAGCTGTAAACTTTCTTCAGCAATTTATTAGAATTCCAGAAAACACTTGCTGAGTAGCCTTGGCCTGTAATAAATATCAGTCCTTGTTTGTTTGTTTTTGTAATGGGAACAAAACCACATCTTTTTCTTTCTAAAGTGGATAATTCAATTACATGGCAAGAAACACATTCATTGTCCAGAATACCCAGAGAAGATTGCCACGAGACTTGCAGTTCAGTGGAGAGAGGAGGGGAACGGAGCCAGCTGATACCCAGGATTGGTTTCAGGGAAGATTTCCTTGTTGACACGTCCACTTATGCAGGAGATGACAGCAGCACAGGATTGTCATTACAAACAGGAGGCAGAGATGGGCATCTCTGCCCATCCCAGGACGTGGAGCTTCAGGGTGGCAAGGCAGATATGAATGAAAGAGAACTAGGGATAGTGAAGGGAAGCGACTTTGTGACACACAGCAGCTCCGAGGCGGCAGGGGAGCTGAGCTCCAGCCTTCTGTTCTCAGCCTGCCGTGTGCACTCACGGCTTTCTCGTGATTGCCTCCAGAAAATTCAAACCCCAGGTTGCTGCCTGCAGTGCCAGCAAGGAGTCTGTCACATCCATGTGTCAGCACCACTTTGGGAGCCCTGCTCAGCTGCTTGCTGACATGTTCTGAGTGCCTGGTAGGCACTCAGATCCAGTAAAATGGGTGTTGTTTGAAGGCAGAAATCCACCTCTGTCCCTCACCTCACATCTGATCGTGTGCTCTTTCTCGAACCCAGTTCCAGTCCAAAAAATATCAGTTTTTTCTTCTAGACGCTGAAATACTTCAACATTTCTTGCTCTGCAGGCTGTCACCTCTTCGGTGGGGACTGGTCCTTGCCTCAATGGTAGGAGGCAGATAGTGGCAATGATCACATATATGTCTGGAGTCAATACCCTGTAAGATCAGGGAGTGCTTGTGAGCATCCATTCCCTTCTATGCCTCCATTTTTGGGAGCCTGCCCTGCAAAAGGAGAAACAGGAGACAATGCTTTAAAATCAGTTCTTGGTGGGTTTGGTTTGTCCACCCTCTGCAGGCAGCCTGGCTCTGGGTTTAATGCTAGAAAAGTCTCTGAGCTGAAATAGCTGAAGGGAGGTACTATCCAGATAAGCAATTACCCAGTGTGCTTTCCCAGGGATAGCCCAGCAATTATGGTTAGCAATAAAGAAATCTGACAGTTGTCAAAACACAGACCCTCATTCCTCCGAGCTCTTCTTGAGGGGCACAATTAGCGTGCTGATGTGATTAAAGCCATGTTCAGCCCTGATAGGAGAGCCAGACGCACCCAGATAACTCCTCCGAAACCAGCCGCTCAAAACTGAGGCGTTGGTTACCTGATTTGTAGCCAATCAAGTAGAAATCAACCATTCCTGTCCACATAGCTACATCATGCCGTTAAACAGCCAAACCCTCTTCTCTTACATGTCGTTGAGGGAGATGAAATCCATATGGCCCAGAGAGTGAGCACAGGCTAGGGATGGAAGGAAGGACAGAAACAGCATTTCTTCAGGACAGAAGACAATGGAAACGTTTCCACTGATTCCGATAGGCTCTGAATCAGCGGCTGCAAACAATTTTCCTCCTAAATGGACTTCCATATGTCTAAAAAAGTCTTGCAAGAGCTGGAATTTGTTACAGATCAAACCTGTACTTTATTACTCTGCTCCCCAACTCTGAGTGTTTCTCCCTTTAAATTCCTTGTTCAGCCATTTCTGGGCTTCGGGGTTCACTTTCAAGGAATGCATTCACTTCTAAAGCTAACATTTTTCCATGACACAAAGAAAAGTTTCCCCCCTTCTGCTCCCAGACTTCACTTGATTTTGCTGGGGTCTTGCATCCTTAGGTTCATCAGAAAAATAAGTGGCTCTATGTACAGAGGAAAACATGGGGAGGAAATCAAGTTCACCAGACCTGAAACCTTCTTCACTTTACAGATAGGCTCTGAAACACAGATATTTGGGGAAAAGCCTAGCAAAACTTCTTTTTTTTTTACCAGAAATTTTCCATTTCTCTTAGTACAGAAGAGATTTTATTTTGCTCTCTTTTTGACAGGCATCCTTAAACTAAAGATTTTTCTCTTTCCTTCTTTCATTAAATTTAAAAAAAGATTGGCAAAAGTGAAGTTTTCCATTTTAATCAAAAACTGTTTTGTAGGGAGAGTCACTTTCTTGCCCATGATATACTGTATGTGCTCTGTAATCCATTTAAAGGGGTTTAGGAACCTATGTACTATTTTCAGTAGTGGTTTAGGCACGACAAGGGACATTTTCACAGTCAGCTTCATATCCATATTCCAGTATTATCAGTAAAGTTTAAGCATTTAAATACCTTTTATCTTGTCCTGGGGTGTCAACAAAAGCCAGGCTTTTTACAATGTCTTGAAAATACAACTTAAGTTTGATTAAGCTCTTAAAACCTAATAGAATATTTATAACTTACTCCTAAGGCTATACCAAAATGGCCATAAACATTATAGTTTTCAAATTCATCTATCTGTGCAAAAATATTTTCCATTTCCTTGGAAGAATGAAAACACAGGAAGAAAGTTTCAAAGCAACTCCCACAAGGAACATCCCTAAGGTCTCATTTAATTCACAATTTTAAGTTTCTAAGCTTCCAAAGTATTTTTTAGTTGATGTTAACTTTAGCTTCAGGGTGTTGTTTCAAAATGAAATCTCAAAACATTTCATTAGAAAACAAAGCCAAAACACTTGGATTTATTTTTCTTCCTTTTCCAGAACAGTTCGTCAAGCTGATGTGAATTCACAAACATTTTCAGCCAACCTAAAGCACAATTTTTGGCAAATAAATAATTTCCCTAAAAAAAAAGGAAGTAATTGTCCTCCTCTAAGAATAAGGATAAAACTCATCTGTGATTTTAAGTGTTCAGACTGAACAGTGATGAATTATTTGTCCTGATGATAGAAAAAGAGAAATAAATTTGGCTCATTACTTTATACATATGTTGATACATATCTCAAATTTATATACACCCACATACACACACGTCCCTTTCCTTCCAACATGAATGTTTTCAACACAGGAAAGGTAAAGAGAAGAGATTGAGTGCTGATTAGAACAAAAGTCGCACTGTACCTTACAGATTTCAGCATGTCTCATTAAAACCAGGCTTGAAATATACATATCCTTTAATAAATAAAGCTTAAGGTACATAAACACTGCAGCGGATATAAATTATTTTAACCAAAGTATGTAGGGGAAAAAAATTACTGGAACACCACGATCCAGGGCATTTTACAGTAAATTGGACTTCATCAGCGGTTTTGCATTTTTATTTGATTTTGGAGTTCCTCCACTAAAGCTGTAAGTTTTGTAGAGTTTATTTCACACCTTGTAATTTAAAACGTTACACTCCATCGAAATTCCTCTCAAAAAAAAGGACCTGAGTAATTAATGTCTTTGGGATCAACATTCATTATATCCCACTAGTGTGAAAATTCATAAAAATAAGACATGGGATTAGGAGCTTAACAGCCTCACACATTTGCAGAGCTGCTGCACTGGCAAATATTTCTCTGCTGTGTTGAAGCGGAGCGCACCCCCGGCTGCTTTCATTTGTTTCGTTGGATCATCCAAGTCATTAGAAAGTGCCTGAAAAGTAACCTCACGTCTCATGCTCATATTTTTTCTTGGAAGCAGATAAATAAAAGGGGTTTGGGTCATTTCTTCCCATGATCTTCTATTTCCTTCATTTGGTAGGATGTGCTTTACCTCCTCATAGAGACAATGGGAATTTGGGCCACTTGCATCAAGGGGACTCCATATGCCCTTGGAAAGGAAGCAGGACCTGGGCTTTGATTACTGAGAGCTGAATTGCTTCCTTCATGAAAATGCCCTGGGTTCTCCTCCCTGGTTCCAAGGAGGTGGAACAGCTCCGGGTTGAATCACAGACTCCGTTTTGCCCTTGGTGGATTCATAGATACAGTGGGTGAATTTGTGCAATGAACAGTAACTTTGACCAGAGTTTAATTTTGGAGGGACATAAACCATTCACAAAGTTGGGCTGAATTTGACAAGCACATTTTGCCAAAAAAACAAACAAAACCAACAAGCCTAATACAGGAGGCTCTTTTTAGAACTTCAAAACCTTTCATTCCAAAGTGTTTTCAGAGCAAAGAGGTTGACTTCATGTAGGTGTTTCTGAAATGAGCCTTTTGGAGGTTTTATTGAAAAGCCTCACTTTAGAAAAAAAAAATGAAATTAAACTGTAAAACGGAACATTGTGTTTCAGATCAAACACCATGTCCTAGGTTGCCTCAATATTTCTGGTTTATTTTATCCTTTTTTTTTTTTCCTTAAGACTCTCTTGGTTCAAAACAAACAGAATTGCTTCATTCCTTGGTCGCCTCTCTCAGGTATCTAAATCTGACCACAGTACAAAGCATCCTTTATTCACCCAGGTCCAATCATTCACCCCAGGACATGGCTGGCTAGAAACTCTAAGGAGTAGATCAGTACAGCTCTCCCTGCAGGTCTGGCTACTCAATTTCCTTCTAAACTGGGCAATTCCTATAGTGCTGAAGCCACTCATCACAACTCCCTCTATAGCCGATGGTGAGAAATTCCAGCCCAAGATCCTTAGGACAAGCCATACTCCAAATATGCCACTTGATTTTAGAGGGAAACAAGCTGTCCGGTTTGGATTGAGAGATGCTTTAAGTGAGGGGATGTGAAGTCCACCACAGATCTACTCTTGGGCAGAAAGTACCACTGGAAATTGCTGTTTTCATTACTGCATGTGGCTGTGGAAAGGAAAACCATTTCCAAGATAGATCAGCTATTCCATCTGCCCTGGAAATTAATCTGTCAACAGCAGCTGGGAAGAGTGCATCAGCATTCAAGTGCTTTGCTGCCTTCTGATGTTTAGGGTCACATTTGCATCACCTTTCTGCCAAGTGCTTTTTGGCTGTAAGATGGTGCAGTCACTGATCCGGGGAAGTTCGGCTTTTCAGGAAGTTCTCTAAAAAGAGCATACCAGAAAAAAGGCTTATTTTATTTCACTCTACACATTTTTAAGCAATATAATTAATATAACTGATCTAGTATCCTAAATGAAGTTTGCACATTTTACCCCATGAACAATACTTCTAACTTAAGAAGTTAGCACACTGTAAAAAGTTAAGTAATTTACACATCTTCTTTGAGCTTAATGAAAGCAACTTCTACCTTCAAGCTTGACCCGGAGGCTGTATTTCAGCCTCCCTTTTCTCTCCAGCCTAGAAAGCTGTTTTGCACTCAGAGCAACCCACCTTTGTAGGGAAAGGATGAGGAGATTCTAAGGAAACATCTGGGCTTTTCAGATGGGTAAAAACTGGGAGATCTCTCAGCAAACTTATTCTTTAGTTTGATCAAAAAATCTGTCATCACATACTCTGGCTGGTGAAGAGGTGATAAAATCATTCAGTTTTAGGACATGAAGTGGTTCTTAAATTTAAATCAGATGGAAAGAGAGACAACATGTTTTCAAAAGTAGTTAGGCTCTCAGCTAGAATTATGACTCGTATCATTTTCTTGTAGTTGCAAATCGAGCATGTTTCTGAGTTTGAATATAGCAGCAAATAACCCCCCTACCATACTTTTCTTATGAACTTATATTACATCATAGCCCTGTGCCCTCACGAGGACAGCAACCATGAAACACGGTACCGTTGTCCATGCGAGCAAGCAGTGATCCAGTGCTTTGCTTGCTCTGAGGATATCTACATGAGTTGATGCACAAGCATGACGATGAGTCACAGATGGCTCGATTAGTGTTGGAAACTCAATGCAGATCTGAGCAACTTTTGGATGCTTCCCACCATACATATTTCACTCCCTGTCTCACTGCAGAGCCCGCTGTGCAAATGCTTTAAAGAGTAACACAGGAAGAGTTGTGCATTGGGAATTGGAAAAAACATTCTCTTCGAACACAGTTAATGGGGCAAGAATACCCAAGTTTAAACTGCAGCTGTGTAGTTTCCAGTTAGACCTTGGAGTAATCTATGGGTGACAGACAGATTCTCCATCACTGCAGGATGCAGAAACTATTGGACAATTCTCTGCCAGTACAGACAGGGTGGACTAGGTTGTGGCTATGAGTTACAGGACATTTTGAGATCCTTTCCCCTTTTGTCATTTCAGAACAGGTCGGCCCACCTGCAGTTTAGTCTTGCTCGGAAGTTGCACCCTGAAAACTCATAGTCTACAGGTCAAGTCCACACACAGAAGCTACTAAAGAAGCAATCTAAGAAATAACACTAACCTTTCAGCAGGAGCAGAGCTCACATTTCTTCAAGGAAACATCCCCCATGAGCATCACAGGTATCTGGATGGTTAAGCAGTCCTGAGATAAAAAGTTTTTTTTTGAGGGTACCCAGGACCGGATTAAAACTGCTGTGACCCCATACAGCAAAACTGATGCAGTGTATACCACTCTGCCTAGTCAAATTTATCCTCTGAATTGTTATGGGGCAACTTTAGTCCAACAGAATTCATGCCAAATGAGGTATCATATGTCTTCCTGGAGCCAATATAAAACATGAAGCCAATATAAACACTATATAGCATGTTCTAGCTAATTCAACGCAAAGTAACAGTGTACACACACCTGACCTGGATCTTATTTGTCCTGCCAGGTGATTTTGCAATACACAGACTGAGTGTTAATGATGTGGAATCCTAGCCCCATCTATTGCCCTGACAAGCCTTCATCTAGCGTTTCCCTCTTAAAAAAACCTTCCTGTCAGTTCAAGCTCAAATGCAGCATTCAGAGATACTAATACCATCCTGACAGGTTATTAATGATGAGTTTTCTCTCCACAATCAGGCTTAAAAATGGAGCCTGTAAGGAATGAGGTTTATGCCTCTTAGCAGAGATGCAAGAAAGAACATTGATATTCAGCACCACTACAGAAAACCACCCAGCAGCAGAGTCCCACCCCTCAGCTCTGCACAGTGTATGAGACAAGCAGCCCTTGATCTGCTCTTGACACTAGACCTCACTCAGGGCCAACTGTCCAGGTTAGTGAAGCTGTGATTAGAGGCAGGTCCCCACTAACCTGGGGCTCTACATCATGTAGCATGCAAATCCAGCACACCTGCTGTGCCCAAGGTTAGGCCCTAGCAAGGCTTTCTCCACCTTCAGCTACAGACATCACACATGCCCTCCATGTCCCATCAGCTCCACTGAGCATCTTGCAGTGATCTCCTTAGATAGGGCCCAACATGCAGGATGTACTGAGGCACACTTGTCATCCAAATATATGTTCTTGTGTCCTCTGAGAGAACGTTCCCCTTCAGCTGGGTTGAGAGCCACCACCTGGTTCCTCCATTGCCACAGGCAAACCTGCTGCCTGCTTGTAATCCAGGTAAGGCAGCAGTGCTGGATTCACCTCCACCTCAGAATGTATGCCACAGCTTACCTTAGACACCTCAATAGGCCAGCCATGCAAATGAAACCCGGGCAATCTTCCCTCCCTCTCCAACCCTTATCCCCAACCCTATGGGACAACTGTCCCTGGACTTCACAAACCTCTGCTGTGTTGCAATTCTTCTGAGTCCAACACTACAGACTGTTATCATGCCTCTTGGCCCTGAGATCAAGGAAGGGTCTAGAAGTGCTACAGCCCCATCTCCTGAAAGCAATTCAATTATCAGGTGAGGGCTGACTAAACTTGATTAAGTTTATACAGCAGGAAAGTGGCAGTGGCATGCTATCCCCCAGCTTACATGGAAACACATCCCAAATGCGCAGTCGTAACTGCCTTGGGCTTGCACAAAAATCGACTGGCCTCTTGTTTCAGGGTTAGCTGGTCATTTCTTCCACAGAAACTCCTGTGTCAGCGAATGCAAATATTTAAAATTCTCAAGCTTTCTTGAATTTGTTGTATCTGCCTTCAGTTTGGTTTTTTTTTGTTTTTTTTTTTTTTAATATTAGATGGTGCTGAGTTTCCAAGATTTTCTCTACAGGGATGAGGCCATCAGGTGACAGTGTGGACAACCAGCCAAAACTCTGTGGAGATGGGATGCAAGCAGATAGGGCACGGGGAGAATGCCCTAGGAAGGAAAAAGGAAGATGTCATTGTGAGAGGTTTAAAGTGATCCTGAGAAAATCTCTAAATTAAGAGTTTACTGAAGGGGTGGATGGGAAGGAAAATTTTAGAAGAGGAGGACTTCCAGGCCTTACTTTATGTTACTGACAGCAAGGCTGTGTCTAAACAGACCACGTACCTCCTCTGAGCATGCAGTGACTGCAGAGGCAATACCTGAGCAGACACACTGGAGAATTGTGTCCGGTTTCCATCTGGGCTTTGCCAATGCCTGTCTCAGCACTGATTATGAGAAGCAATCTCACTATCCAGAAAACACGGATAGTAGAGGAGCCTGGGGAGGTATTGTCAGTACATCCCTTTTAAGGATATAGTCCTGACAGGATGTTTAGCACCTTTTCTTTCTGATAACTGCTATAACTGGGAAAAGCAAACAGAATAAACCCAAAGAAATATCAGCCATTCTATAGGTGCAAAGCAGAAGCAGGAATCTTCAAGGCCAAGCAGGACCAGGAAACAAAAGCTCTGAGTTGAGTTAGCTGTGTACCAGTCAGTCCTGTAAAAGAAGCCGAGTTTCTACCTTGCATGGATTCTCTGTGCTCTGGTGTGCAGCTGAGCCCCTGCCGTCCACAGGGTGGATGTTTTAGTGCCTGGCTCTTTTTAACTGGCACATGTTAAGAGCTTTGAATTAGCAGGTGCATAAAAACTGTCAAAAACCACTTAGCTCTCAAGACAGTCTGTCGGTTGCATTAAAAATATGGTTTTATGTAACCACATTCTCTCAACACTTGCTGGGTATTACGGCATGGGAAAGTCACTTGCCCTTTCCAAATGAAAGCAGCGATGTTTTGACTCTCCTAAAGAAAAAGAAAAAAAGAAAGAAAATGAGAAATTCTACAGTTCCTGTGATCTTGCCAGGGAATTGCTCCCGTTTTCCACACTAACTTTAGATTTCTTCCAGCAAAACAGGACTGGCCTAAAACTCCACACTAGAGGCAAGCACCCCAGATACTAAAGGGCCAGTGTCTCGCAGCCTTACTGAGCTGGAAATGAGGGATTTTTGACAAATGAATGGGAAGATGCCTCACTTTCTGCCTGAGGAGGTGGTATTTGCTGCAAGTGTGATCTGTGGTTAAAAAAAAAAATAAATAAAAAAATCGCAGTTTTACAGGGGTTTAGAGCTAGGAAAAACGTTATTTGTGCCCCTGTTTCAGAAGAGGTTTAGAAATGGTTTCAATTCTCACTCTCCCCATAGTCACGAGTCCCAAACATCTGGGACCTCAGAAACAAGAGCATCAGGATTCCAGAGTGGAGAGAGTTATAAGACAAAGGTCCAGGAGAATTTTTAAAACACTCAAAAGCACTTCTGAAATCAGCTCCCTTTCAAATATGTGGCAAATACATTAAAGTGGACTTTGGATTAAAGTTTTACTGCCTCTTGATAAAAGCCATTTGCACGTTTGATGTGTTTGTGGATTGCAGCCATCCCAAATGCCTTCCCCAGCACTCACCCTCATGAGGAAGTCTCCCTCTGGTTCTCTCCAGGAATGCCCAGATGGGTTATCATCTGGCACCTCTCTAGAGGTGATCAACTCAAAACAGCCACCTCTGGGGTCACAGACACAGTAGGTGAAAGCAAAGATTTCTGAGTGCAAGCATTTAAGGTGTAATGGTGAATATGGATAACCGCAAAGCCTGTGAGAAGTGGAAGGAACAATAGGGATGTAAGCTTCTGAAACTGGCTACAAGTTTAATGCTACTGAGTTTTAATTCTATAAATCAAAACACTTCCAGTACCACCTTGCACTCCCCCACATTCTGCTCAGACTGATTGCTTTGAAAGGCCCTGATTATTTCCCTAGCACGGAGGACTGATGGGTCCATGAAGACTCTTGGCAGCTGCTAGAGCCAGGAAGGGAAACTAGTTGGACAGAAGGAGAAAACTTATTGGTGGCTTAGGATGGTTTGAGAAGTGGATGACTCCAGTGCTGCAGGCAGCTGGGGCAAAAGAGATGGACTAGACCTTGAAAGTGTTTCATGATTTCTCCCTTACGAAATGCAGATATAGCTTTGTGGATGTCAAGGCCAGAAAGAACTATCATGAATGTCCAAGTGTAATGGCCAGGATAAGGAAAATAATTTCTTATAGCTTCTCAGGTTCTGCCAGTGACAGCATCACCCCGGAGACTCACAGAGGGACTGTCACTGGCAATACCAAATATGCTGAGAAAGTCCAGGAGCAGGAGCCTGCCTGCTTGGCAGTGCTGGTTTCCTGCAAAACTGGATAATGTCAATGAGACTGATGAACACTCCACAGTAGTCAGGGGATGCAGTGGGATGTCATGGAGAAAAGTCCATTGCTAAATATTTTGATTTGAGGAACGCAGAAAAGAAAACAATTGGTATTTTAGCAGAGAGGGTGGCTGTGGTGGGGAGATCTGGAAGCAAGAAGAAAATCCTGCAAGGAACCAGGCATGACATTTTAAAACAGCTGCAAGACGTTCTTCATGGAGAATCAGAGAAGCGTGTTAGAAAAATGCTGAAATGGAACTGGTATTTTATGAGCACATCCTCATGTTAACAGCATCATCTTCTCTGCCATGAGGCTAACTACCAAAACACGGGACCACCTGAAGCTCACACAACAGCAAAACTGGAGACACAACCACTAGGACACCATCAGCACTACGGAGTATGAAATATGCACAATCGGCAACAAGAGTCATCACCTAAACAGCTACAGAACTACTCAAAACATGATGCAGGGTTTTGGTGATACTCAAAAACCTAATCCAGATCCAAACTGGGCAACCTTGCAGAATATGATGTCTGAATTGGACTAACCCCTCCCTGGGACAGAGAACCCGTGTACTCTGGAATGGGAAAAGTGACTTGAGTCTGCAAAGACATAGCTGTTTCACTCCAGTGAGCTCATGTTGCAAAGGCAGTGAGCATACTCAGCACAGATTTCAGCACAGGCTCACAGCATGAGTCTCCAATGACGTTATAATTTGTTGCCCAAACTGATAATCTGAAGGATAGACAACTTGTGCCTTTTCAGCCATACTGTACACAGACTAGTGAGGTACCCCTGCTGGGCTGCTGCTGAGGTACCTCCTAAGGCTGTGGTAGTGCAACACGTTTCTTCCACATGGAGAAAGTAAGGAAGATACCATGGCTTGCTGAGACACCATCTGCTGGAGACCTAGCTCTAGCCTTTAGCGAAGGAGTCACACCAACAGTGACCTTCTGTTATCTGCTGCCCAGGAATGACTCCCAGGGCTCTCCATCCCTAGAATACCATGTTGGAAGGGACCTCAAGGATCATCTGGTCCAACCTTTCTTGGCAAGCATGACCTAGAATAGATGACCCAGCATCCTGTATAGCCAAATCTTAAAAGCATCCAGTGTTGGGGAGTCCACCACATCCCTGGGGAGATAGATGGCTGATTGTTCTCATTATGAAATATTTTCCTCTAGTGTCCAATTGGAACCTCCCCAGGAGTAATTTGTACCCATTACTCCTCAATCTTTCCCATGTGACTCCTTGTAAAAAGGGAGTCTCCATCTTCTTTGTAGCCAGCTCTCCTGGGGACATGGTGGTTCACAGCCATGTGGAAGCAGTGGTCAAGAAGGTCATCTGCCCTTTAGCTATGTGGTAGGTAGCTGAAGGGTGCTGCTGGACCTTGTGACTGGACTGCAGCCAGGTCCTCACTTGATATTGATTACTAGCAAGACACCTCATGACATTGCTAAGCTTGAAGTTCATGGGGTGACTCTGTCCTTTGTTCTACTATCTCCTTTACTGGCTCTTTGAAGGAGGAAGCTGTGTAGGTGAAATAACTCAGTGGGGTCTCCTTCAGGACATTTAGGTACTAGTGCAGAAGCAACATATGGTCAGCAATTATGCATGTGGAGCTGCTCCTGATGCATGTCAGTGAGACCTTGACTGCTGCTATTCTATTGTAAATCTGTTGCAGTATTTGTTCAAGAGTCCCAGGCCACAGCGAAGTCAGAGCAATGTCCTCCCAATAAACAAGCAGACTGAGATCTTGGGCTCAGTTTGGCCCTGCATTATCAGGTAGTGCCTGCAAACCAGAACAAAGACCCATTACTCTGCACCACAGAGAAAAGAAATGTCAGAAAGACATTTGAAGGGCACAATCAGCACTGATAACAAGAACATGAGAGAATCATACCAGATGATTCTATGTTCAGATACATCACCAGCACTACCAACTGCTTCAGAGAAAAGCAAGAAACCTTACGGGGGAAAGTTAGAGAGTGCCTGTTATTCAGAGATTTATTTATGACCCATGTTTCATTTTAATTACACACAAAGCAATTAAGGCTGGTTTGGGTGTTTTTGTCTTACTTGGCTCCAACCCTTGCAGCCAGACTCAGGGAGGGCCACGGTTTCAGCCCATGCATGATCTGGGTCAACAGTGATTCTGTTCCTTAATTCAGCCACATTAATTAATTATTAATGAATTTCCACATCCTCCCCCATTCTGCAAAATGCAAGACTAAAGAGGTGTCCCTAGCACTGCAGCTTTCATGCTGGATGATTTGTATCTACTTTGGTGGCATCACTAGGCACAAACCAGGCTCTTCCAGTACTTGGGGTTTCATTCTCTGCTGTGATGAATCTCCAAGCTTTTGTCTTACCACGTGCTCAGATGGATCCCAGCACTCCTCCAGACAACTGGGCTGAACAGGGCTTGCAAGGCAACCTGTCCCATCTCAATCATCCAACAATCTCCAGAAAATAGCACAGCCCTTACATGGCATAGCCCTTGAAAAGGGAGTCATTCATTTGCTACCCACCTCTGAAGTACAAATGCAATGCCCTGGCCCCTACACATGCTTTTGAGTCCGAGATACCACAGCAAACGGCATCCCTACTGCTGCTAGACTTTCTGAACACCATTGCCTATTCAATAGGACACTGTCCACATCCTCTGAAGGACGGTGTGGCATGGAATACTGGCACTGTCAGATCTCTGCCACATGAGGCCTGCTTTAGTTACTGTGCAAGAGCAATTTCTCCCAGTTCTCACCTCTTGCGAAAATGTACCAAGTGTGAAAGCCAGTTCAGACATTAAAACCCACTGCTTAGATCTAGCAGTGTGGAAAAATAAAATCACTGGCTGATCAGCCAAACAAGCAGGTGGGAGTGGTATGGACAGAGGCAGGACAGACAAGTTACTAAACCTGCCCAGTGCTCCCAACTGCCTCGTTATACTGATTTATGTTTAGCTAATTGAGAAAATGACTCTAACTACACAATCCAGGCCCTAATTCAGAAAGGCCCAAGCTTTTTAGTGTCTCTACCTGTATCTTATAAGGCATGATTTAAACCCTGTAACTAACAGGCTGCCAAAGGCAGGGATTTGAAGGATCTAATGTCCTACCATGCCGAGGGCGTGAAGCTTGGCTAACTTCTCTCGTTACTTGGTCTTTCCCCACTGACGTAGAAGTTTGCTGCTGGGACATAAATCAGGGGAAATGATGAAGGAAACCAGTCTCGTGCCCCATCAAAGGAACCAACACTCGCTTTAATAGGACCATGCAGACTAGCCTAAATAGGGCACTTAACAAACATGTGGTTTCTATAATACCAGCCCACATCTCTACACCCTGTTTGCACTGCCACTGGCAAAACCCTTTGTCTGTTGCACACCATACCTATACCCACAGAATCAGAAAAGGGACCATGAAATAATACCAAAGTGTTGAACATACAATTTGTGGGTTGGATCAGGCCTGCAGATAAATTTTATCTAGCTCTCAGCAACTGCGTGAACAAGAGTGGAGCAGAGACTGAAGACGTTGTGTCTACACAGAATCACACAAAAGTACCAAACTCAGTCCAGGGCTCACAGATACTCAAAGATCCCACACGCGGGGGATCTGGTAAAGTAGAGGCCTCAGGCTGGGAAAATTATATCACAGGGGTTTTTATCCAAATTTGAACCTTGACAAAAGGATGTTAGGAACAGAAAGTATATAGATCTTGCTGTCCTAAGCAGAAAATGCAGATTAGAAGGAATCCCAGCATGGGAGACAGTTCAGTAGTGCTCTGCCCCTTCTTTGGTTCCAGAATAGTAATGAGCAATCCTTTCTAGGATGGTCTTAATACAGCTGGTGGGGAAACGCAGTACCCCCAACCACTAGGCCAGTCACTACTTTTGTTGATACTAGTTTTTCCTCATTCAGTTTAGATGGGATACAGGCTCAGATGGAAGACACTACTGAATCACAGAAGGTATTAGGAAGAAGAATAGTTGAGCGAGAACGTGAGTCTCTCCCCAGATAGCTACTGTAAGCTGAAACCTCTTTAGAGCCCAACTTCATCTGGCTGGATATACAATCAGACTGGGGATCGTTCAAGCGTTTTACACCATGCACTGGACATTCATGGGAACCCCAGGCTGAGCCATGACCATCTGTGCTCATTTAAACACTTCTGCTCTTCAGAGGAGGGAGTGTTATTCTCAACATCCTGGCCAAACTGCAACATGGGCAATTATAACATGCTTTGTAATTCTCACAGCAGTACACATCAATGTTTTCTACTTCTTCTCATAGTGGTAATGTGGTGGCCCAACACAGAAATGGCTATATTGCCACAGGAGATTGCAAGTCCTCTGTGATAAGCCCTGCAGTGTTATTGTCAGGTACCATGTGTTGCT